GCGCGGCCCCGGAGGACCCCTCCACCAACCCATCACCCGTCCCCCCGTGTCTCCGAAGGCCCCTTCTGACTGAGCTACCCGGTGAGCTCGGCTCCTCCGGGCCTTTCCGTGTCCTAAGGAAGGGGACGGGAGCAGCGTGCGTTCGGTCCCCGCATTTCTAAGAGGACGCTGTTAAGATCTGATCTTTTCCCTGGAGAAGTGCAGCTCTCCGCCTCTGCACGAAGACCTATGTCTCGCAGTAATTTTTGCTTCGACCCGCTTAACAGTTAACCCCACGAGTCATTTAGGATTTAATCGGACCGTCTGGTCAGATCGTGTTTACACGGCTCCGTATTATGCTGGCCTGATAGGTAAAGGCCTGCCCGGCTGCCGTCTCCGACGATAACGCCTGAATTATTTTCCGACATCGGAAACAACCTACGGGGAACACTCAATGCTTTTTGCTCAGCGGTGAGCTTGCCGTCTCTCCCCGGACGGTGCTCAGTGTGCTGTTTTTACGGTCTGATTACTTTTTCTGAGTATTATTTCCTTCCAGGGCATTGTGCGACCCCTTTTCCCAGTTCCCCACCAGATTCCTCTCAAAATGAAGCATTCGGGTGGCTTCACAGATTTTTGCTGGTGGTTTTGAGTTTCCTGCTCCCGCTCAGCGAAAGGGGGATGTACAGAAACGACGTTAATAATTTACCTCTGTGCCATTGCCTCGGACAAGGTTTACCAAAACATCCTCGGCTCCTCACTGGGGGAGGCATTCATCGCGTCCACCAGTTAACGTCACCAGGATAGCTGTTTCCGCACCGTGTCTGTGAGCCGCCTCCATAACACAGCCAGTCAGGCAGTCTTGGATGGGTATTACAAGTGGTATTTGTCCTGGCATTGATGTTCCTGCAAAATCACGGCCTCTGGGGCCTGCTGGATCAGACCCTGGTTATGAGCTCCCACCTCTGGAAAACTGGAGGCTTTTCTCAGATGCATTGAAGCTCCCAGAACCGTTTCTCAGCACCCAGCTGCTTAGGATGCAATTGGGTGCTGAATTTTTAGTTCAGTTTAGGGTTATGCTCGTTTATAGGGCTTGTCTAGGTGTGATTCCATATATCCCTCATCAGTTGGTGTGTGGACGCTTACCCCAGAATATGAATACTTCAAAACGTGTCTACCACAGCATGCTGAAGCGAGTAGAGATGCCTTCATGGATTTGGGTTGCTTGACTACCAGAAGCCAAAGAGCTGCTCTCCCACGCAGCAGAGCCGTGCGCTAACACCCGGGACTCTCAAAAGAGAGCCAGGGGGTCAGATACACGGTGAGCTCCCGGGGGTTCAGGAATGCAAGCCTTTATTTTTCATAAGCCACGACATGGTACAAGGACGGGACTTCCCACATCTGGGTGGAAGAGGCGTGGTGTTAGGAAAACCTGCCGGCTCGCTCCTGCTGCAGCCCTGGCATCGTAGCAGCACTTGGTTCTTGCTGTAGCCCAAGCTGCCCTACAGTCCCGTCTCCTCGCCGCTCCTACCTGCAGCTTTCTTGTCTGGGAGAGGCCTTCCTCCTTGCCTCTTGCGTTGACGCTACTCCGGACATCCCAAAAGCAGGAGCTGCTCTCCCCGTGCTCAGGTGCATCCCTGTGCTGCAAGGCAGCAGTGCCACCTCGGGGCACTTCCCAGAATTGGGAAGTCTGCTAAAATAGGGGTCAGCGTTCACATTTTTGCACTCATACAGTGCCATCGGCTTTATGCTACCAGGAGAGCTTTCCAAAACTTGAACTACCTGCTGTGCTTTCTCCAGCTGATTTTTCACACCGCTTTAGAAACTCTGTTCAAGTCCAAACACCTCTCCCAGCACCCCGACTGCCATTTGGTGTCAGCCGGTGAGGACTTGTGCCATCTTGGTTTCCCCCGAGTACGATTCTGCCTTTTGGTGAAGTGCACAGCTGCGTACAGCTGCGCTTGCTCCTTCATCTGGGTTAGCTCTGAGAACAGGGCCGCTGCGGCTGTTTCGGTTATTTAATACTTTGCACTTAAACCACTCTTGATACGTTCCCTTGATCGCTGCTCGGATAGGCAGCAGCTGCTGTCATGCATAAAATCTCTGTTACTAGCAGCCCAGGGAAATATATTGGTTGAAGTTTAGGAGGTAAGTGGCTGTGAGTGCTGGCTTACACTGTCCGGGGCTGCCATTAAGGTCAAGGTTTTCCTTTTGCACATGCTCCCAGGTATTTTATGTGGGGCTAGTACTGGTACTCGATAGCAAACCAGCACCACATCTGAATAACACAGCCCAAAATAACCACAGTCGTGAATCTTTGTTAAAGCCCCTTTCTGTATTACACTGATACAGGCTGTTATACAAACAGCGAACTGTGTGGTTTATCATTTGCATGACATCGATAAGCATTCAGAAGGCTAAACGAAGCGGAATTAATTTCCTCCCCAGAGCCAGGTGTTTCCCCTGCTCCTTAACAGCCCACCGGCAGAGGCACAACAGGCTGCGCTACATAATCCTCACCGCTATCCCCTCTGCAGCTCCAGAGGAACCCAGCCGTGAAATCTACTTCTTAAAGCTGCCTTTTTCCTTTTGAAAGTAGTAGCATCAAGACAATCAGGAAAAGCTTAGAGCCTTTTCCTATGCTTAAGCTCTGTTGGGCCTTTTCTTCAACAGCAGACATTAGACATTTTGTTCTTGCACGCTTAGATGAGCAAGGGCCGCACAAAACCCGTGCTGACAGAACACCTACTGTCCAGCCTTCACTCACCTCATCCAAGCCGTGTCAAGCCTCAGGAGTGTGCTCTTGATAAGATACCACGGTGCTTACAGAAGGAAAATTTCCCCAAGCTTAAAGAAGAATATTGCCTGTGACCAGTTCTAGCAAAGGGCAGTAGCCACCGCTACTTCCAGTAGCAGTACCTGGCACAGACTGCTCGGACAGTTTCTCATCTTGCACTTTCCAGCTGGGACCTGAGTGAAGATGATGACTTCTGGTAAGCTGCATTTGCTGGGCAGCTGTGCAGACACATACATTCAAACAGGAAAACTTGCTGCATTTCTTTTTATTGTAATAGAAAAAAAAAACCAAAACCACAAATAAATCAAAACATCACTTTCTGCCTAAAGACATTATTAACATTTTTAAAATGGCATGGGGGAACCCCAGCGATACAAGACAGAATAGTAAGTGTGGGCAAAAGGGTTCTGTTCCCTTTCAGTTCAGTTTCTCTGCCCCTTTGTCAATCAGCTGGCTGAAGTTCATCACCTATATACACTTACATACACTTCTCAGTCTAGTTTACATTCCTACGAGTAGGTATGGCTGGGTGGAATGTTGGGGGCACAGTCCTGCAATTTACACGTAACCATCTTTGGAGAAAATGGGTTTCCTAAGAGGCCTCCAGGGTACAGGGGTTCTCGTTACCCAGTAAGGCCAAGCTGTGTGCTTGGCTTCCCTCCTACACTTCTTTTGCCACAAAACACAAAGTCGGTCCCGAGCCCAGGAGACCCTCTAGGAGCTCCTTGGCTATTGCAAACACTGTATGGCCAAGTGAAATTTTACCCAGTGACCTTAAAGTAGCAGCATTATCTCTGCAAAGCGGCTGCTCAGGAGGGGAAAAGGCAGATTGCAAAACACATGGGGTGAACATCTTCCTTCTCTTTCCTGCCTCCCGAGAGGATGTAAAAAGTCCTGAAGTAGGCAGCCAAGCAGAAATCAGGCTCAGGACCTCGAAGTGGTGGACATACAGGGGATATCCCCATTGTGCAAGAGTGTGGGGCAGAAACCGTGGCACCAGTGCTTCCGCCACAGGCAGCTGCGCCTGCAGTGACAGTTTGCTGAAAGTCAAGCAACCACAGCTGTGCTGCTTGCAGGTACCAAACTAGCATACCTAGATGTTGGGCTGCACTGTATCAGCTTGAGTATACCTGTTCAACAGAGGAAGCTCCAAGATCTCTAACATGCTACAGCATTTTGTGGCACAGTCATGTGTGTATTAAGATGAGAGACAGGTTACTCCTCACAGAATAGGTATGGGAAAAGACTGGAGAAGATAGCCATATTAACCAAACAAAGCTATGGCTTAGCAGAAAACACTTACTCCTTCCTCCAGGAGCACCAAAAGGCATTCATAAATGATTTATTATAGAATGCTTTCTGCAAACAGAATATTTTGATGGGGAAAGATTGAAAGCTTTTGTATAAGCCGATCTGTACTAACTGCTACAGTTGTCTCCAAGTCCAGTCCATCGAATGAAATGCTTGAGGAGAAGTTGACGGCACAAGCAGAGAATGAGAAGGAAAAAAAAAAATCTGGGCTGCAAGGGCCACTGCTGTGCACTGAGAGCAGGTACACACAAAACTGCAAAATGGACTGACAGTACCCTATTGCCACTTGTGCAGTGACTCCACAAGGTGCAGGGCAACAGAGGATTTGACAGAGTGACTAAACTGCAGTTTTCTTCCATTCCATCCCCTCAAAAATATGAGCCATTATAGTCCGCACCGAGTAACAGTGTGAGAAACTTATCAAACTGTATTATTCTGGGAGAAAGAGCCCAGCAGAGGAGAGACATCTCCTTTAGGTATGCAGGAAGTTTCCAGTGCAGGAAGTTTGAGATGCAGGACTGAACTTGCAGCAATACTTTTCACAACAAAGCACTGGACAAAGGGCTATACATTTGCATAGATGCTTTTTCAGCAGCATCTGGGACGTGCAATCCCCATTTATGGAGCATCAGCAATGTTTTGGGGTTTGTCCGAAGTCTTTCTTGTGTTCCTTCCTAAATGTAACTGCTACAAAATTGTTCAGGAAAATAGTGTATATACATGCATGAAAAGAAATCAGTGTGCCTATTCTTTCATTCCCCTGATCTTTTTCCACTGCAAATAATTGCAAAGCTATAAGAATCTTAAACTAGAAGATGCAGTATTGATACAGTCTAACGTCAATCTAAGGACAGGACTGCTTCTGCATGTATCCCAATAAACTCAATTGTTCTGTAGAAAAGCTTAATTTTACTCCTCCTCATTTTCTTTACATTTGGGGAGACCTACCACCTATTTCTCTTACACTTAAGCAGAGCCCACTCTGTGATGTGCTTGACTGCTTTGGAAAGGACAGCAATATCAAAGAAAGTTGGAACTACTACTGTGTCTGGAACTAGATATGGAACGCAGAATTGGTCCACCTTATATTACCGTGCAGTTGCTGTGCTATTCCTGCCTTACTGTACTGTAACTCTGGCTTGGTAAGAAAAAAACCCCAGCTCTTATGCAAAGGTAAATAGTTAACAAGGTTTTGTCTATCTGCTGATAAGCTTACATGCGAGAAAAGGAAACATTTCACTTCGTTTTACTTTCACCTGAAATTTGCTTCCACTGCTTCTGCTCACGAGGTTCTGTTCTTTCAGCTGGTTCTTTCCCGTAACTCTTGGATCTAGCATTACGAGGCTCTCGGTAACCTTCAGCTCCAGCCTCCCTCCTACTCACAGCTAGTCCCATTGAAAGTTTCATCTTTTGAGCGTGACACTGACAGACAGTTCAGCTTGATCACCTTTCCCACACGGCTGTGCCACTGCAAATATTCTAATCAGATGAGTTCAGCTTTTCCCCTGAGCAAATAACAATGTCAATGAAATATGCAGAAGACTAATCCTGGCACACCTTCACCTCCTAGGCTACCAACACTTCCTTTGTCTTTTTGCTGCAGACTTCAGCAAATATCCCCATAACATAGGCAGTGACAGGAGAAAGAGATGCAAGCCTGCAAGGGATGGCTAGGACATCCCCTTATTTACTCCAAATTGTGTAATGGGCCCTTGAATGCTCATGGAATGAATTCCCACTTACTAGCATGGGAGTTACTTAGAAAGTGTCAGCCTACTCGGACAAGACAGCCTTTATAAATTAGTATAATAGCATTAGAAATTATGGCAATCTTTTTGGTAGCGTTTTCTTACATGCACCCTGATAAATCCTCTCCCTAGGAAATTTTAAAACTTGTCTTGTAACTTCTGTAGAGTTAATTCTGATGGGAAATTATAAAATAGAAATCTGGTAGATTCGTGTTTAAAAAGGAAGAGGCCTGGTGAGGCTGGGCACACTGGGTCACTCCTGTTAGCTCTGTCCATTATGTCTGCTGAAGGTATTTCCTCCGGGTGGCTGGATCTGGATGGAGTCCAGGAGGGGCCTTAAAGCTTGTCCAAAAGGTCTGAGAAGGTAAAGAAATAAACATCTCAAATAGCTTACTTGATGAACAACTTTTCCCGTTTACTACTGAAGTGCACTCACTTCCTAAAGTGCAATCAAACCAACATTGTAGAAGCAAATTTGAAGAACAGACTTCCGCTACAAACTAAAGCAAACTAATTTAACCTATTAAAGAGAGTTTACTGTTCGATAACTAAGAATCTTAAACATGATTTTATATAAGCTAGTTCTGAGTCCTAACATGCCCAGACTGCTAATGTGGTAATAACTGTGTCTGAAACTGGCTTTTAGTAATTCATTCTACTTTAAGTGTGCAAATGAAATCCCCGTTATGCAACTGCAGTGCTCAATTAAGTACCACATCAATATTAAAGACTGCTAGAAGAATAGCCTCTAGCTCCCTTATAAGACAATGGTTCAACACACACAGAATAATTTCTGTTGCAATCTGTAGCACCTGGTTTATCTTTCAATATGACCCACTCTGTTACAGACTTTATCTGATTTTGAGAGATCTGTAGCGATAAAAGCCCAGAGTAAAAGACATGGGTCTCCCAAACAACGTGGTATACCATTGTTACGAGAAACAGGTACTAAATGATGGAGCTCAAATCATCCCACTGGGATCCGCACTAGCTGAGAGTTTAAAAAAAAAAGGAAAAAAAAAAAAAACCAAACCAAGAAGTTGAGCTGAACTACCAGGCAGGAATTCTTCATTTCCTCTTTTTCATATCCTCTTTTTCCATCCAGTCCTAGCTTTAAAACTGCAGTGTTAATTTTAAAATTACACCTCCCCTGCCTCTTCACAAGCAAAGCTGACACCTCCACTGCAATTATGGTGCTTAGAGTAAGAGAAGTGACCTTTAACAGATACTGGTTTCCTAAGACAAAAAAACTTGCACCATTTTCTGAAACTTGCTATGCTTGTCTGGTCAGGTATGAGAGACCATCACAAAACAACTAGTTTAAGTTAAAGGCAGGAGAACAACCTTCTCCTGTCTTCTTAGTAATGCCAGTGCCAGTCAGCACTTGTCGTACAGCGTTGTAAGCGTTGAAGCACAGCAAATAACACCCTCTCCTTAAACTGATGCTGGTTCTCAGAGAGAGCCAGCAGAAACTGGTACCGCTGGCTCCGTCAAATGTTTAAGCATTAGCATGAAGCAATACGCTACAGAGAGGAGCGGCATGCATACTCACGTGGCAAGAACTTCAGCTGGAAGGTCAGTGATGTAGGAAGGGATTTTTCTTCCTGTCAGGAACTGTGCCACTTCATTACTGAAGGTGTTGCAGTTATGTTCAAAGAGATTATAAGACTCTCCTCTGTGCCACAGGAAAGGGATTGAAACATAAAAAGACAGACTTAGCAATAAATCTGACAAGCAGAAAAACTTAGACCCCTGATGAGGAACAGCTCCTTACATTAGCGCTTTTCTCCCCACAAAGAATTCTAAGACAAATAGGTAAAATACAGACATCAATTCACTTTCAAATTCAATTGGATCAGGGTGGAAAATGACATCTCTCTGCATCACTGACTTTACACAATGTTTTTTTGGAGGATAAGTGACGTCAGGTTTCTTCAATTAAAACCACAGAAGGAATAACGAGAAATCACAGGAATTACTGACACTGAAATATAGCCAGAACACTAAATGCTACTGTTTCCTATTCTTGTGAGAAGTAGACTAGACTCTTTAACAGTCAAGACCTTGCTTTACTACAAGGCTGCTGAAAGTTGGCAGCTTTACTACAGCACATCACCTATGACTCATGGGGCAAAGCACTATTTACTGAAATATTTCATACAGTGCCTTCATTTTCCCTGGTGATTCTCTCAAAGGCGTTTCAGGCATTATTCCATTTTACGAAAAACAGTGTGAAAGACTTCCTGGCAGAATGCTTTCCCAGCCTAGCTCAAGGCTGGCACACCAGAGGGTTGCCTAGCTGGTAGCTCCTTCTGTATCGGTGCATCAGTTCCAGCCTCATACTTGGAGAGTACCAAATAATACACTAAGCAGAGAAAGCTTCGTGAGCAGGATTGGTTTCACAATACCTTCCTCCAATTCTGCACCCCTTCCCCTAAAGGCTTTTTTTGTTATACGGATTTTATAGTACAAGCTGCTACTTACCGGAACATAGACTCCCCCAAAGAGGAAAGATATTCCAGAAAAATTTCTTCTGTGACTTCAGTGTTCCCCAGGTCAACGACTGAGTCTGGGGGGCCAAGAAGTGTCCCTCCCTATAAAAATTCACAGCCAGAAGACAATGTTAAATGGATAGACAGAATTCTTTTGGAGGACTCTACTGAAGAAATCTATTGTGGCTTGTCCAGGCACAAAAGGAGGTACTTTTGGCATGTTTGTCAAGCAAAAAAGCCCTACTGGCCTCGCCTGTTCTGCACTCAGAGAATGAGAAGTAACATGCAGCTTACATTTCAGCTTGTATGCTTGGCTCTTTGTGCTGACAGCTCTAAGCTATGGCAAAATTCTGCTTTAGAAGAATGGCCCATCAGTTTTGCCTCTCAGAACAGACAGATCTGACAAAGCATCATGATTTTTTTTTTTTAATCTTAAAAAGCATGCCTTGAGTTGCCAAGTCTGCATGTAAAACCTATCGATACAGAATTAGACAAGGTGTCACTGGCAATGCAGCTGCAGAAGCTGTCTTGGATAGATAGACTCTACCAGCAGAAACAACACCCAACCTGTATTTAGTTAGGCTTAAACCCACTGTCCATGCTCCCTTTTCCTCAGATGTCCTGGGCAACCATTGCAAGCAGCCCCATCTGGCTGAACTCAGAAGCCTCTTGCTGCTTTTCTAAAAGACAGTGACACAAGCAATTCTGATCAGGTAACCCTACAACAAAATTATCTTATCAGAAAAATAAGTTTAACTTACAGGTGCACAGCTGGAGATTCCTCCACTGCCATAGAAGAACTCATCCTTATGGACTATTATGGAGGTGTGCCTGCCACGTAGAACAAAAAGCAGGTGAAACAAAGGAAATATTTAACCTAGCACATAAATTTACCTGTGATTTATGTGCTCAAGGACATAATGAAGTGAATAACTGAAAGAAAACGTCAACGTATTTCTGTGAGTAGGAACAGGATCTGCTGGGACATGAATGGATATGGAAGCAATGATTATCAAGCCTACTGTAACTCTGTAAGTGGTTGGGAAAGAACAAGCTTAGCTAGGTGCCCAAGCATGAAGGAAGATAGGAAGAGAGGGACTTCCACACCAGCATGAGATCTCCAGCAGCCTCTTTCAGCTAAAGGGCTGAGGGTGAAGTCACAGAGATAGAGAGACAGAGCTAGCCCTGCTACCACATTGACAGAAGTACATCTGATAGACACTGACTGAGAAGAAGGTCAGACAATCACTGGAGATGGATCAATAAAGAGAAAACGGGTTTGTTGTTGGGTTTATTTGTTTGGTTTTTTTTCCTTTTTTTAAAAAAAAAAAAAACTCGTGATATGAATTATAGCAAATTGGGGAGTGTTTCGTAACCAAATGTAGCCACTGCTCTTACATGCTAGAAGGCCTGATTCTGTAACACCTTCTTCCCACCTACTCTTTTACTCTCATGTTTAGTCATACCTGCAATTAGAAGACAAAGTGCTTGGGACAAGGACAACATCCTACCCTTAAAAAAAGTGTACAAGTGCACTGAAACGCAACAACTACTACCAACACTTTTTTTCATGGCGTCCACTGAGCTTTGAATGGAGAAGTTTAACCAGCTGTCGATCTCTATTCAGGAACAGAAAGTGCCTTGGTCTCTCTTCAGTACCAAAACATTCTTAAGTTCTGAAGCATATATAATCCCATTGAAAATACCTCCTACACCACAGAGTGTTTAACGCACATTATGCAATTTAAATCTAGTCACTTACCAAATGCCATCCAGCTGTTTCCCTGTATGCAGAGAAAAAAAAAGAGTTATTAGCAACATATTTTCCAGATTTCAGTCTACTTTCTGTCAGCCAGTTAGGAACCATGCTTATTATTTCACCATGACAATAATACCAAAGATTTCATCCCAGAGTTGCTTCCAAAGAAACAGAATGTCTGTCTTTCAAATGAACTACTCCGTCCACACTACTGCTGGACTTTTTTCCTCCTGCATGCAGAGGTGGCAATGCCATCCTATCCTGCCAGTGCTTACCTTCCTCGGGCTTTTGCCTACAGACCAAGAAATGAAACCCTTTCCTAAAATTACAGTCTTCAGTCAGGACCAGAAGAGTTGAATTTTACACTGATTTCATAATTGCAGGCAGTTAGCCAGCACAGAGCATTCAGTTTTCTTTTTCAGTAGCTGATGAGAGATCTGACTTGAACATATGATCTGTGGTGACAGTCTCTGTAATCTATTCCATGGCTTCCTCCTTTCCTTCCCTCCCTCCCTCCCCCCCTCCCCCCCTCCCCCTGCCCTTAAAAATTAACAGTTTAAGTGGGAGCTGGGGGGGAGAAGTGCAGGGTCAAAATTTATTCAAGTTATAAAATTGTGTGTTTTGTAGAACACAGCAATAAAGACTTGCTTCAGGCACCGCTAAACTGATAATATTATTGTGTCTTAGAGAAAAAGTCCCTTCTGAAATGCTTTTCCAGTTTCCTAGAAGTGGGAAACCTAAACCTCTCCGTGTTCATGGTAGGATCTCAAGATCAAAGCTCTCTTCAAAGGGTCACCAGCTGTCACTGCTCTAGGCTCAATTATTTTATCTATCATAACCTAAAAGCTTGGTTCCTGGTATCATACCCCTTTGTAAACTTCTAGGCAGCAACAGCATGCTACGACAGATGCGCCATAACTTTATTTTGCCAAACGAGGTGCACAACACCCAGAAAAGTGGATTTAGAACAGAAAAACTGCGCGCATACCAACACGTGGTATTCTCCCGAACCCAAGCAGTAGACTGAGTGCTCCTCTGCAGTAGCTTCTGCTTGCTTGCAGCAAGCTCCTGATCCTTTTAGTCAGCCTCCGTGTACAAGCATTCTCCCCCAGCAGACCACTTCCCACACCACTGTCCTTTACATCCAAGCAGCACCTCTTCCAAGATGTTTTGCTGTTATTGTCCAACTTTTAGATACCAGAATGTGATGTGATGATCTGCTAAAGTCATCTGCAGGTTTCCCAGAACTACATAAAAAACACTGTAGACATGATAAAAAAGCCACCTGAACATGAGAGGCACTGTTCTAGTAAAAAAATTTGTTCAGAAAGCAATGATTGTTTAACTTTTGGCCAACAGGCTTTGCTCTGGTTTGGACACCATCTGTTCGCATCACACCAGCTTCAGGCCTCCCAAAGCTAACCACAGACCTTCTTGCTTCCTGAATTCCAGGCCGTTATGTCTAGATATTATCCTCCTCCTTTAAACACAGCCTCAGAGCTGTGGTCTTTTTTTTTTTTTTTTTTAACGTTTTATTCGAATGCTTGTGACATTCAGGCTTTTCTTAGCTATCTTGAGGGCCACTGCCTTAATTGACCTTAACTCAGGATTTGGCTGCATCCCTCATCACACTGTCAGCCTTGCTTCTCCCTAGCAACTATTCCACCAGCCGCCCTGCTTGTATTCCCACAGCTTATGATGCTGAAAGCGCACTGCAACTGCTTTTCCAAAGGCTGGAATCAGATGCTCAGAATAACAATAAATTATTCCACTCCTTAAAAAAAAGTTTGGGAAGAATGAAGTTTGGCTCAGTTGCATTCCCCTGCTCTTCCCCCATGACTCCCAAAGAGGAAGCAGAACATTACACGCTGAGCCCCAGTTAGTGTATCAGGGGCCTGAAGCTCAACGGTAGTTTGACAGAGCAATATTTCATCCCTCAGCCTCCAGGATGCTGGCTTCTCTGCTGAAACTTTAGGGGTCACTCTTCTTCTGTTGGTGTCCAGCTTCTTCTAAGATCCCTAGTGCGGTAGCAGTGATGGGGTACATTGTCCCAGTTCCACTTGTGCTGTGGAAAGACATTCTCCGATTGTCCTTACTTAGATCGGTGCCATGGCATCAACGGCCTACAGGGAGGCAGTGGCATTGCCTTTCCCTTTCTGTAGGCAGAGGGTCTTGGGACATTTATCCCCTCCTACTCCTCTGTCAGGGCTGCTTTGGTCTGTGAGTGCCAGGAGTGAATATGCTACTTCAAAGCAGCAGTAGTTCTTCATGAGTTCTTTCTCTTGGGCAAAACCAACTTTCTGTCGTCATCAGGACTGGGTAAAACGGAGGAACAAAACCGATGAGGATGTCCTTCAAGAGTTCTGAGGAAATGATGTTTATGTGTCAAAGTAAGTAACAAACAATCACTACCATATTTTTTCCCCGCTCAAGACTGAAGCAAAATAGGCACAGATATCTGCTTCAGATGAGCGTTGTGTAAGAGTGGAGGCAGGGAAAAGGCTGTTGTGACAATAGAGACATCAGTCGAAGTGAGCGCACACAGTTTTGCAGTAGGTGGACTGATCTGTCACTACCATGGATCACAGCCAGGCAGCAAGCATATTCACTGTCAACCCGTCGCACAGAAACGTAGGCATGGAGTAGGATCAAGGCCAAAAGATAGTAGCAACGATGAGAGAAGCGGAGCAGCGTGTTGCAGCACCTCAGGAGCATCTGCTGCCCCTTTAGCATGTCCCACGCTGTTGTGCTCCTCGATCCTCTGGCCCTTGTTCCACACCTTCCCCATCAGAGCTTTCGCCTTGCGCTCTAGAGCTGCCACAAACCAGTGACGCTGCAGGCTCATCAGCAACACGCGAGGTAGGGTATAGTGCACTGCCCTAACTTTAGCAGCTGGCCTACAATAGGCTCGACCACTTGGCTTTGCATAGTTAAGTGTTCTGTGTATCTGTTAATAAATGATTACACATTTGTTCACAGTAAATCACTGTTTTCCACTAGAAACTTGAACTTTATCCTTCAGGGCAGAGAAACAAACCGTTTCAAAGGCAGCACATACTAGAATTGTATCTGGCCTTTTGCATGCTAAATGGAAAAAGAACATCTTAATACTTACTTTCACACACATTCCCAGCAAACAACGATGAAAGGCTTTCCACAAAGTTGCCACTTTGCACCTATATTCTGTGTGCAGGTGAAAGAATTATAGCAGATGCTGACAATGTCACAGGTGCTGCCAGGAACCTGCTTGTGCAATTACAACACCTACTTGAAAAAAATCATTGCAGCAAAGGCTACCACACATTGGGCTGCTCTAGCAAGACTGCAGCCAGCAGCTCAAGGAAGGCGACTCTTTTGTGCCCACTTTTGGATCCCCCCAGTACAAATGACACTGACATACTGGGCTGGAGCACTTGCTGTATTGAAGAGCGGCTGAGAGAACTGGTCTGTTCAGCCGCAAGAAGAGAAGGCCAAGAGTCCTTATTGCTGTCTACAACTACCTAATGGGTATGGAGGAAAGGCAGCCTTGTTCTACTCAGAGGAGCACAGTGAAAGGCAACACCTGTTAGTTGGAAAATGGGAAATTCCCAACTCGGTAAGAGGGGGAAAAAAAAAAATTACCATGAAGGTGGTCAAACACTGGGGCACGGGTCCAGAAAGCATGTGGCATTTCCATCCTTGAAGATACTCAGAACTCAGCTGCCCAGGGCCATGAAGAATCTGCTCTTGCTGGATCTACCTTGAGCAGGACCTCCAGAGGTCCCTTTCCACCAATGCAATTCTCTGATTGTACAAACAAAACCCAAACAGAATCCAGATAAGGGACTATGCATTAGACTGCAGTCCAACCCTGGGGGGCTCCTCTCTGGCTGCTACACACAAAAACCATAGCCCACAACAGGCAGCAACTGCCAGGGCAATAACAGAACAGCTCTTGGCAAGTGAAGCCGCCTATCTTCACAAGGCAGGTCTGTCTGAGGGTGCTCAGCTAGGTCAGTTTGTGCCAAGCACTGGTTTGATGATCTCAATGGAGCTGCTGACCTGCTACTTTTGCTCAGCTCCTGCAAGACGTTAACCAGGCTGGCATTGTGGAAAACACATGCCAGATCTGCAGCACTGATGACAACAAGGCATCCGTGGTAGCTCTCCAGCCTGCTGCAGACAAAATAAAATCCCTTTCTGCCCCTGGTGGACTGTGCTTGGTCAGAGGCAGTACAAGCCTCTCCAATGACAACACCGTTGGGGAATCCCATGCCTAAGAAACCTGCCATTATTGGCCACACACGCATCACCCAGAGACATCCAAGACCAAGAACGTTTGGTATGCTGCTGCAGTTTCCCATGCTGCACAGCTGGCTGTTGTCATCTCAACTCCAAACTGACTGACAGAGGAATAAATCAGTGGCCCCCAGCTTCTGAGGAGCTTGGGCAGCTCCCTTCCCTGCTGCTCAGCAAGACTCTCAATGTCCTTTGTCTGTTGCGTCGCGTAAGAGGCTCTGTACAGACCTTCACGGACACCATCATTTCCCTCCTGAAGTTTTGCCTCTGTTGGTGATCCTCCTACATGACTCTTCTTGCCTGTCTCAAACTCAGACATTGCACAGAACAGGTGACAGCTCGCAAACACTGCCACTCCTGACAAGCTCACGTAAAGCAATCGGGGCAGCCTGCACTAAGGAGTTACGTCTTGCCTTCTGCGGGACGTTGCCCACTACATACAAAATACGTTTCTCGCAGCCTCTGAAGGCTTGATACACATACCAGCCCCACCAGTATGACAAAGCAAGGATCGGCACTGCTCTGTTTCCGCAGCCAGCTGCCCAAGTGAGAACATCAGTACAGTATTGCTGCAGCAGTGCTAAGGCGCAAGTTGTATCCAGGCCTGGCAGCAACACTTTCCCATGAAGCTGCTTCTGGCAGCACTGTCCAGCTTTAAAAAAAATAGAAGGTCAAGCTTGCCAGGGAGCCTCCCCAAATAATCCTACAGTGCAACAGAGCTTACACCCCGTAGTCAATTGAGTGGTC